GGGAATTGCAAATGCCCCGGGGATTTAAATTTTCCCCGCGGCATTTGCATGAACATGGCTGCCGCTTTTTTCCGGCTCGGGGCGGAGAAAAGTGCCAGTCTAGACAGGTATCTTGAGGCAAATAAAGCCTTTTCTGGAAGATCCCTTATTTCTACCTAAAACCAGGAATAAGGGATCTTCCGGAAAAGGCTTTATTTTCCGAAAGATCCCCGTCTAGACTGGCACTTTTCTCCAGCAAAGCCCCGAGCCGGAAAAAAGCGGCAGCCATGTTCATGCAAATGCCACGGGGAAAATTTAAATCCCCGGGGCATTTGCAATTCCAACTGGTCTCATTAGCATCCCTTTTCCGGAAAAGGGTGCCAATGTAGACACAGCCATAATGAAACTGACAAATCAGATTTAGAACAGAAGGGGGAGGGTTATTATCTATGAGATAATGATACTAGGGGTGATAGTGCAGACATGCATATGGCCTATGTGCAGGCCCATTACAGGACTGAGAACATAAGAACATTCCACACTCCTAAGAGAGTTTAGAAAACTGTCTCGTTCTTTAGATTTGCCCTTTTAGTTTCTGAGCTTTGGGACTATATGATGGGCCAGGATTTTATTTTATTTTATTTTTTGATAGCAGAGAGAATTAGAATTTATTTAGAAAAGCCAAGAGTCTCATGTAATCTTTTATTTCCAAGAACAGCAGTTTTAAATAAACTGAACAGTGCATTAAATAACTGCAAGAATTGGCAATACTATATCATCCCCATTCTATAACTGGCACAGAGACTGAGGGCATGCTAGATGGCAAGCTAGCACATAGCAATCACAAGTATGAATTATTCTGCACCATACTGTTGTCAGGCTCACTGACTACATACCATACTAAAATGCACTAAAAGTTACAGAGGAGTATGTCCCAAGTGCACTGCAGAATTCTTCATACACTTCAGCAGCTGTTACTGCACAACAGGCTAGCGCACACAGTTTCACACTCTGGATTGTGATGCGCTAAGGTGTAGACAAGCCTTGAGCAAGGCACAACATCACACATGAACTATGTAGCAGAGCAGAGAATTAAATCCAAATCTCCCCTTTCCCAGGTTGCACACAATTCTGGATCTCTTTTTTCTTTTTTTTTTTGCTTCTGTAAATGTACCCTGGATGTCCAACTCCTACATACTGCTGAAGAACCTGTCAGATGAGGCACTTCTTTTGTGCATTGCTGCAATCTTCAGATTAAACTGATAGTAAGCCCAGGGTGTAGAGAGACACAATAAATGATAAATTAGAAATGGATAGCCAAGAGAGGAGATGGGCAGGAATGGACAATAAAAATCATGGAGAAACAGAGATGCTGAGGTTTCTGCTTGTGCTACAGGTGGAACATGTGCTCAACTGTAGATTTCCTTGTCCTCCCCAAACACATTTCTGGCCTGTCACAATACTCCTGGCACTCCATCCTGATGGACATATCCCATAATTATGACTGGACTTACAGGCAGCTTCAAAGAGTGCTGCTCACTCTCATATCCCTTGTGAGATATGTTAATAATGTATTGCCGTTTAATAACCCTAGAGTCTGGCTGCTCAAAATCAGATATCCCGTTATCCACCTCAGTGCTACCCCTGCAGAAACTTTTCCCCCTTGGCATCACAAATGTTATACAGAACACAGAAGACTAGTATAATTTCACAAATATTTTCCTTATCGAGGTCTAACTACCAAAAAGGTAGCACCAGCAACTCTGATCTGCCAGATGCAAATTTTATGGCAGTGGTTCTCAACATGCAGCCCACATGCAACCCAATTGTGTCACAACTGTGTGCTAAAGGTTGCTGGGACCTGCTGAGACAGGTGTGCGGGCTACCCCACTATTTGGGATGGTGCTTTGGGTTGCTGGTCACCCAGCCCTGTATGGCAGGGTCAAGGCTTAAGGTTGCCCTGCTGCCCCATTCCTGAGGTCCATTTCTGGCTCCACTCTGTGGAAGGGTCTGTAGGTGGGCCAGGGCATTGGGCATTTTGGTCTGGAATTTGGGAGTGCTGTGGTTCTCAGTCTGTGACCCAGCTAACATTGAGCATTGCTATGCAGCCTACAATGATAAACAGATTGAGAACCTCAGTTCTATGGTCATTCTGCACGTGTGAACCTATTGTTGAAATGTTCCTTTCTACTAAAAAAAGTCTGGCATATGGCTACATAAGCAACTGTATTGCTCAGGAGCACTCTGGACATTTCCACATCTATTGGAATCTTCTGGTCTGGTAAATGTGTGTGTCATGCACTGACTCACTGCACTGATGTCAGTGAAATGTCCCCAGTGATCCACCGGTGCCTGCAACATCTAGAAAAGCAGCCCTTTCTGCTGAGGTACTCACAAATTCCAATGTTCCCTCTCACTTTTCCTATGAATGTGCAGAATGAATTTTGTTATGTACACCAATATGAAGGTGATGTGAGGGGTATGGAGCGTGGCAGGGGGCTCAGGACTGGGACAGATATTTGGGGATGAGGGAGAAGTGAGGGTTTTGCTTGGGGCTGCAAGCTCTGAGATTGGGCAGAAAGTTAACGTAAGGGCTCTAGCTGGGGGTGTGAGCTCTGGGGTGAGGCCACGGATGAGGGGATTTAGGCCTAGTGCAATGACTGGGGTGAGGGCTCTAGCTGGGGGTGGGGGAGGCGGTGCAAGCTGCCCTGGGGAGAGAAGACACAACCCATTCACTCCCAGCTCTCTGCACCCACAGCAGCGGCATCTGGGCTGGGAGGGAGAGGCACCACTCCCCACCATTGCAAGTCCAAAGCTCAGTTGGGGCACCCTTCCTCTAGCTACAGTGGGTGTGGGGCTGGTTTGAGGCCAGGGGAGGGGCACCTCTTCCCACTGCTGCAAGTCCAGGGCTGGGAAAGAGGCATCTATACCTGCTGCTGCTTTGAGTGCCTGGGTAGTGCTTAATGGGCAACTGTGCAGCTTACAGGGAACTTAGCTTACAATATGGTCTGGAGCCAATGTTAAGATATACATGCCCTCTATCACCCTGCCATCGTTCATGGGTGGCTTTGTGATAAGAGGATTCCCTGTTTCTTGCACATTGCCCAGCATCTCAGTCTTTTGTAGTAGTAAAAGACAGAACTATGTAGCACTTTAAAGATGGTTTATTAGGTGATGAGCCTTCGTGGGCCAGACATCACCTAATAAACCATCTTGTTAGTCTTTAAAGTGCTACAAAGTTCGGTCTTTTGTTTCAGCTAGACCAAACTTACACGGCTGTATCTCTATTACTTTGTAGTAGTAGGAGGAGATTAATAACCCTGCACATTTGCATCACCATAACCCCCATGGTGGATTTCCTAACTACAAACCAGTTTGTGACTGACCAAAAGAAGCTTCTATGCAGCCATCACCACGTGTTTTTCTACCATTAGGGCTCTTCTCATTTTGGTGTCCTTACACCACAAGGCTCGTATTTGCTGTGCACACAGTTCAAAAAAGATGGATTTGTGCATACAATATGGGATGATAAGCAGTGGCTGCCATAACTGCATCATGGTTTGATACCCCCATTTAGTGCTTGTTTCCTGAGCCCAATAGCAATGTTCTACTTCATACAGCTGTTCCGTGAATGCCAACATCTATCTTGAATGGTTTCTTTCCAACAGGACAGAGAGCATGGACTCCTGCTCCAAGTCTCAGCTCATGAAATTCTGCAGAATCAGCTGTGTTGTTTTCATAATGCTCATCACAAGACTAATGAGCAGTGCAGGATCTGAGGTATTATTTACTTATCCCAGTCTGCATCCTTTCCCTTTTTTGTCTATGGTAATTTTGCTAGTTGCCTGGTCACTTTTTTGGGGGTGAGAAGACTGAAGCATAGCAGGCATTGAGAGCTTGGCCTTCTTATCTTCTGTTAGCAGGTCACCAGCCACAACTGCTGGGGCAGGACAAAAGGGGGACACTGGTCACATGACCATTCCCCATGTGACTCCTCCCTGTGCCTTCCGTAGCTCAGGGGAGGGCCCACCTAGTCCCACCACTGCCCCACTCCATTCCAGGCCTCTCTTCTTCCGAACCCTTCTGTGCCCCTTCCCCCAAATCTCTACCCCTGCTCCACCCCTTCTCTGGTCCCATTCCACTCCTTCCCCACAAGCCTCCTTTCCTAAGCAATATGACCTAGGGAATTAGAGGCCTGGAGCTGGCGGCAGGGTTCAGGCTTCCCCTTTCATGCATCAGCAGCCACACCAGGAAGTGGAGTGCAGGGCCTGTGGGTATTGCTCTGCCTATTGGCCCCTTGCATTTCTCCTCCCTCCCCCCACTCCCATGGCATTCTGGCATTGAGGGGACAGGCGACCCTTCATATTGCCCATGTGCCACCTCTGCAGTTTACCTTTGCCATTGAACAGTGGACTCACACCATTTCTGGTCTCTCCTTGTGGTCAGATATTTGTAGAATCACTTCTTGTTGTCTCTAGCATTCCTTACCAGCTGTCACTGGTTCTTTGGCTTGGCTTTCTTGATTTCATACACTATTCCTATTCATACTTCTTTGGTGAAATGTCTCTCCTTCCATTTCCTGGATAGATCCTTTTTGGGCTTTAGATAACTAAAAAGATATGAGACTGTCATTCACACAATGTGTAATTTTCCTTCCCCATGTTATTTATTCTTTCCTGTTTAATAAGTTTCTCTTAGGCAGCCACAAAGGTATATTTTACAACACTGAGCCCATGATCAGAAACTGCAACTGCAAGCAATGCCCTAAATAGCCTGATACTGGTACGGGTTTGCCAGGTCTTGGAGAGACTGATAAAATTGTGTACCAGGCCTGTGTTTTTTCAGCAGTGAGATTGAAAATGAAAGTCAACAGCAGAACTAGAAATGCATTTTCTATCTTTGCTCTTCTCTTTTGTGTGTGTTTCTCTTTTACCTTATAGGGAATTGGATTGACTAAATAGCAAAGCCAACAACAACAGCTCCAGCCTCTCTCTCTACTAACATCTTCTCTTTCCCCCAAAAAAGAACATTTACTATAAAAAGTCTGTTAAACAAAAGGGGATTTTCCTTGTAAAGGTATCGATGCAGCTCAGCAGAAAGGGAATAAGGATGTTAAAATGAAAGCTGTATTTAATCCTTTATATTTCAAATGCTGCTTCATCAAATGGTCTGACCCAGTACAGCCGTTCTTATGTTAAATGTTTGTGTCTTTTTATTCAAGTTTAAAAAGGGTTTTAGATGGTGTGCTTGCCATTATGCTAAGCAAGCTATGATCTCTGTATATCAAACCCCAAAACTTGTTTAACACAGTTTAATGTTGGATAGTGACAGGGTCATGTTAACATGATTAGCCTTTGGCTCTATATATTCTGTCTAAATAAATACAGACACTAAGAAAGAAATCCAGAGAGATGGGGAAGAAATTACATGCTTGTCATACTTGCCTCAGATGCAGCACTGGACACAATTTAACAGGTGCATAGGTTTTATTAAAAGAGAATTTCTTTAATAAACTCACTAAGACAGATACTGTCAACATTTGGTGCTATGCTTCCATTGTGAAAATGGCTGAGGCTGATATCCTGGCCCTACTAGAAACAGTACAATTCACACTAATTTTGATGGGACCAGGATTTCACTTCAGTCTCACAGGTGATCGTCCAAGACAGCTTTCTTGATACTGCTGAGATTATGGGCAGCCAGTGATGGTAGGGCTGGGAGAGGCAAGGTCCCAACCCCACCCCCTGCTCTGCCTCTTCTGCTGAGGCTCTGCCTTGCATGGGAGCCAAGCTGCCTCTGCCCCTCCTTACCATAGGGAGGGGAGGAAGGCGGGTGGACATGTATGGCTCCAGACTCTCGGGCCTGCAGCACAGGCTGCACGTGGCTCCAGCCTCCCCACCCCTGGAGCACAGGGAAGGCGGGCACAAGGGGCCGCAACACTCTGCCACCAGAACACCTACAGTAGGCATTCTGAGGGCGGTGTGTGCGGGGCCAGGATGGTGGTATGGGAAGGCTATGCCATGGCCGGATACCTTGACCACCCTTATCTGTAACAGCCGTTGTACCTCCTCCTGTACGGGTTCCCACATTTTCCTAGGGAGGTGTCACAATTGGTCTCGTACTTATCAGGTTGTGTTGATAAGACGTACGTATATTCTCGTAGGAGGACTCCCAACTCGTTCTTTTGGTGGTCTGTCAAATTGGCCCCTTTACGCTGAGCTATCCTTTACCAGATTGCCTCCCCAGGGCCCCAACTCTGGATCCGGTGGCTGTAACATAATCAACACGCTTTCCTGTGGTTTCCACTTCTATAATAAATTAATGTGGTAGATCTGGGTGTTTTTATGTTTACCTGTCAGCCTCACCTCGTAGTCTACTGGTCCTACTTGTCTTAGGACCTCAAAGAGTCCTTGCCATTTGGCCAATAGCTTTGACTCTGGTGATGGTAGGAGAAGCACCCAGTCTCTTGGATAAAATGTTCGGGGCTTGGTTGCCTGGTTATAATACTGGGCCCGTTTTTCTTGGGCCTGTAGTAGATTTTCCCTAGCTATCTCCCCTCTTGTTTGCAATTTCTTTCTTAGGTCTATGATGTAGGGGATTGTACCCTTCACCCAGGAGTCTTGTTCTTCCCAGGTCTCAAATAAGTCTAGTATTCCCCGCGGCTGTCTCCTATATAGTAACTCAAAGGGGGAGAACCCTGTTGACGCCTGGAGAACCTCCCTGACTGCAAATAACGCAGGCAGTAACATATCCCATTCCTTCATGTTTAGCTCAATGAACCGTCAAAGCATTCCTTTTAAGGTTTTATTAAAACGTTCAACTAACCCATCAATCTGTGGGAGATATACTGAAGTCCGTAAGGACTTCATGTTCAAGAGGTGGCATAACTCCGTCATTAATTTAGATGACACATTGGTCCCCTGGTCGGTCAACAGCTCCTGTGGGATCCCCCTTCGGGCAAAGATTTTCACCAATTCTGTGGCAAAGGTGGCGGTCGTGGTGTTCCTAAGCGGGACCACTTCAGGGTAGTGGGTGGCATAATCTATAAGTACCAAAATGTACTGGTTTCCCTGCCGAGACTTTTGCAGGGGTCCCACCAGGTCCATAGCTACTTGATTGAAAGGGACGTCCACCACGGGGAGTGGAATCAGAGGAGCCCCTGGTACTATCCCCGGACCAGCCTTTTGGCACTCAGGGCAAGATTCGCAAAAGTCCCTAACCTCTCTATGAATGCCCAGCCAAAAGAACCTGTGTTATCCATTGAAATGTTTTTTCTCACCCCAGGTGTCCAGCCTACGTATTGGCGTGGGCGTCAGCCGACGGTCAGGGCAGCGTGCATGTGCGTGTGCGTGTTTCCGAGAAAAGGTTTAACGTCAATGTCTTTACTTCTAAGACCGGGGTCCCGTCACAGAGGGTGGCCAGCAGGCCAACAGACGCCCCGTTATATAGGAAGAGCTTATTACACCTTAGATTTTAGCTGCTAGAACACAACGTTCCTTCGCAGCGGGCAGCCTGGGGAAGGCTGAAAAGTGTCCCAACGAATCTGTCACCTGGGAGTGACACAGATCCAAATGCCTAAGCTCTTCCTATGCCTATCTCTTTATAACTGGCTGAAGTTCTTTTAAATTGTGCTTGGTTCTATTACAGCAACTGAAGGAGTCAGGTTAAAACTTAAACAGTTACAGGTTTATTAAAAAGACTTATAAATCATATGGTTACAATGGCTATTGCTCTCTCAACTGTTAGCAAATACAGATTTTAAAAAAATGGTTACAAAGAAAATAAAGATAGAAAATAGAAATAATGGTACCAAGTGACAGCTTAATCTTTAAAGAGCTCTAAGTCTGTGTACACTTAAGACAAAGGACCACATCCAGGTACAATTTTTACCCCTTTCTGTGCCTCTCAACTTCAGTGTGTCAGGCCAGGGCCAGTCTCTCAATTCCTAGGAAAGACGAATACGAGGTGGGTGTCCCCTCTGGAACCTCAGGAGATCAAACACCTAACCTGACCAGCAGATAGATGGTAGATTGACACTCAGAGTAAATGTGCTGCTGGGCCCATCTTTAAACCCATAGGGGCCTGTATCCTCTTTCTTATCTAGGATGCCAAATTGTACTGGTCTGTTTTTATGGCGCCCGTTCTTACAAGCAAGTTTCAAGTTAATTTACACTTGCAAGAGAGATAACTAAATTGTGAGTACTAGACATTTTTTTTTTACTGGGCGAGAGATTCCTCCCCCCGCGGACGGCTGTGTGTTCGTATCAATATGGGTAAAGTCAAGGACACTCCTTGGCAGCCTCTTGGTCAGCAATTGGCATATCTCTGTTTACAGCCATTCACGGTCACACAGCCTGGGCCTTCTGCTCTGTGTGCCCTGCATGCTCCAGGCAAGCAAAAATGGATGTTACAAGGGGGGTTCCTGTCTGGCTACAGTGGGCCAGGTCTAATACCTGCCTCCAAAAGCAATTGTCTGACCTCTCCCTGATCCTCAGGTCGGCCCTTACCTCAAACCTGGGTATCCGGCCTCAACAAACCTCAATAGGTTGGTCATTGGTTGGGGTTTCACCTTGCTCCCAGGCATGCGTCAAGAAGGGGTCTTCCCGTTGCTCAGAGAAAGTTTTCACCTGCTCCTATCTCCTCAGAGCTTAAAGATGTCTTCAGCTCCCTGCTGGCTCCACAACTCTGGGAGCCTTGTTCCTCCTGGCCCCAGTCCCTCATAATCTGGCCAAATCTGGGCCAGTCACATCCCAGCAACACCGGATATACGAGCTTCGGGGCTAAAGCTACCCTACAGATGGCCTCATCCACTCCATCAGATAGGTGAACCCACACCGTCGAGTAAGTTCTGATATCTCTATGAATACATTGTATCAGAACTGGCCCCTCAGGGAGGAACTCTGCCCAGACCAGGGTCTGGCTACAGCCTGAGTCCATGAGAGTGGACATGGGCTTTCCCTCCAGTCTTACCTGGGTCGTAATCTTCGTCTGAACCCTTGGTCTCTCCTGGAGGTTGGCTGTGATTCCTTAGTTTTTTTGCGAGCATTCAGCCATATGGAGTGGAAATCCATCAACTTCACAAAGAAGCTTGCACAGATCCAAACTGACATCTTCCTTTCCAAGTGCAAACAGATGGACATTATACCTAATGGACTAAGGGTAAAAAACCCACAACAATCTACATACCCCACGGATTACAGCCAGAAATTATGCCACACCCTCACAAAAACAACAACTAAGGAACTACCTTATCAGCCTATTTATTTCGAGTTTTCATATCCCCGACTCATAACTCTGGTCATCTGAAGTGGGCTGTGCTCATGAAAGATCATGATACCATCTACATGTTTTGTTAGTCAATAAAGTACTACCAGACCATTTGTTGTTTTTTTCCTGTAACAGACTAACTCAGCTATCCCTTGAAGCTCCTAAAAATTACTGGTTGCTTAGGTACAAGTGATCATGACTAGATTACATTTATAATGAGGTCCAGAAAGCCTCTTAGTACTTTAATATGACCAGTTTCACAAAGCTAAACATAATTATGAACTGAAAGTTAGCTGGGAGGAAGAATTTAATCAGAAAAATGTGAACGATAACTGGAATAATTTAAGAACATCTTATTAGATGCCTAAAAAGTCACAATCAAGAAAAAGGACATATTAATTAAAAAGAAAGACATCTGCTTTGCAGGGGAAGTGAAGGCAGCCATATAGATCAATGTGCAACAAATGGAAGAAAGGGAATGGGGATAGTCACAAACAGAAGTCAGAAGAGGGAATGTAGAAAATTGATTAGGTTAGCAAAAGAACACAAGGAGGTTTCTATGGCCAGCAGACTTCAGGAAAAGACGACTTTCTTCAATATATAGGTTGAAACTCTCTTAACTGTGATTTTCTGGTCTGGCAACATCCATGGTCTAGCATGGATGTTGCGCAGGACCAGAGTGTCCCGGTGGTGGGACAGCAGTAAGGATCCCTGCAGGGCCAGGGAGCTGATGGTGGGGCTGCCCACCAGGGTTGGGAGACCCAGTGTGGGGCTGCCCTCCAGGGTTGGGAGACCCAGTGTGGGGCTGCCCAGCAGGCCTGAGTGCGCCAGTGTGCAGTACACGTGGAGCTGCCTAGGGAGACCCAGCACACAATGCATGGGGCTGTTTGTGGAGCCCCTGCACAGCTGCTCAGGAAGCCCCAACATGTGATGTGTGGGACTGCCCAGGGAGCCCCAGCATGCATGCAGTTGCCTGGAGCCCCAGCAGTGATGGCTGCCAAGCAGGTCAGCGGGGCCAGCAGGAGGTGGGGAGCTGGCTGGGAGGCCAGTGGCCAGGCTGGGACGAGGGGAGTCCAAAAATGAACTCACCTAGTCCAGCAAAATCCCTCATCTGGGACCAGTCAGGTCCCGAGGGTGCCGGACCAAAGAGGTCCAACTTGTATCAAACAAAAAGACTCCTGACAATAATATTAGTCCATTACACTATGGGAGTAGTAAAATGATCCATAATAATGCAGAAAAGGCAGAAATATTATATAATTGTTCTGTTTTGGAGAGGGGCAGACAGATCATTCTCTTTCCATTCCACTAATCTCTGGAGCATATTTTAAAAAGCTACTAAAAGTAAACATTTTAAAATCAGCAGGTCCAGATAACTTGCATTTAAGAGTTTTAAAAGAACTGGCTCAGGAGCTTGCTGGACAATTAATGCTGAGTTTTTTAGTACAACTTGGAACTTTGGAAAGATCCAGAAGATTGGAAGAAATCTAAAGTTATGCTGATTTTAAAAGGGTAAGTAGAATGACCAGGTAAATCTAGGCCCGTCAGTCTGACATCAAGCCTAGGCAAGATAATTTAGAAGTTGAAATGAGATTTGATTAATTTTGTTATCCTCCTCTGGTTCATTATTAATGCAAGTCTAGAAGAGGATAACATAATTAATGCATCCTGTCAAACTAACTTTTGTTTCTTGCTCAGATTACAAGTTTGGTTGATAAAGGTATTATTGTTGACATAACATACACAGACTTCTATAAGATATTTAACTTGTAGAAATGTAGCCGTGTTAGTCTGAAGTGTAGCTGAAACAAAAAACAGGACTATGTAGCACTTTAAAGACTTAACAAGATGGTTTATTAGTGATGAGGTAAAAATGGAAGGTTCGAGAATGTGGTCAGCCCCAGAGAGGTGCAGAAACAGGCAACCTTGTTCTGAATATCTTTTAACTTTTATTAAAATGCTTTTAACTATAACTTTTTACTTATCAGCTTTTTACATGCATGGGCGCCAGATAACTATTAACAGTAACAATAAACAAACTGCAATGCAATAGAGGAAAATACCTTGTAGCTTTTCTAAGTCCCAATAATTATCAATAACACCGTAGGGATTTTTATCAGTTATATTTACATTAATTTTACTCATAAGGTCTGACATCTAAACTCCTAACTATACTATTTAACAAACTTCTAACTTAAAGGTTTGATAAATAATAGTGTTAAGATTAATTAACTTTACACAGCAATACTCACACTTATCAGACATACAAGGGACAACAGAGACAACAGCATATTCGTTACGCTCTGCGGAAAATTCAGTAGATTCGGTGAGCGGGAGGGGGCCTTCGGGTGATCAGCCCTCAGAACCTGGCTCATGTTCTGCCTTCCAAATTTTCGGGAACCCTCAACTGGATGCAGGAGGGGTAGCTGCTTTATAGAGAGAGCAAGAGCTTTCCCGCGCTTAGTTGTGATAAGCTTAACAGATTCTGTCTGCCTAGTGACAGGCTGAGGGGAAAGGAGAGGGGGTGAGATGGCCCTTGACTGGCACGAACTTTGCATGACCCTTACCTGCCTGGTGTTTTACTCCTGGTTTTTACTGATCTTAAGTCACATAGTGCAGGATTTTTGGTTTGAGGGGAAGGTAATCTTGGGCTAGGAAGGCTATGTGCATGAGGCCTGGCCAGAAGAGAGCCTGCTTTAACAATTAGGTGATGAGCTTTCGTGGGCCAGACCCACTTCCTCAGATCAAACTGTGGAAGAAAATTGTCACAACCATATACACCAAAGGATACAATTTAAAAAAAAATGAACACATATGAAAAGGACAAATCAAATTTCCGAACAGAAAGAGGATGGGGGGGGGGGGCAGGTAAATATCTGTGAGCTAATGATATTAGAGGTGATAATTGGGAAAGCTATCTTTGTAACGGGTAAGGTAATTAGAGTCTTTGTTCAAACCTAAGCGTAAAGTGTCGAAGTTGAGCATGAATGACAGTTCAGAGGATTCTCTTTCAAGAGAATTCTTGAAAGGCTTTTGAAGCAGGATGCAGGTAATTAAGTTGTTGAGACAATGTCCTTTCCGGTTGAAATGGTAAGAAACTGTTTTTTCTTTGTGATCCTGTCTAATATCTGTTTTGTGGGCATTAATCCTTTGGCAAAGTGTCTGAGACGTTTGTCCAATGTACATAGCA